GTATGCTAGATGGGTTTTGGTTAACACAAGAGCTGATGTCATGCATTTCAATAATATGTCTTCATCTTACATTTTTATAGGTCTAGTGTCAATAGCCCCATCTGAAATGATCCACGTGTAATTCGATAGCATTCCACTATCAATGAGTTCAAAAACATACTGACAGGACATTGGTCTGCATGGAAGTATGGCGTGCAATTAGGGATTGGCCTCAATAGCTCCTACCTGCTATGACTATCCTCTCCGTTAGTATCTAGCAAGGTCAAAGTACATTATACTTCCTTTAAAAAATAATTGAAGGAAGAAGCTATGCTGTGCTGTTAATACCAGCGCCTTATTCAGAACTCAACTCAAGCGACGAGCCTGGAACATTATCTTATGACTCCTCCGACATGCCAGGAAATCCATTACATTGCTAGTACTATCATGTTTCTTCTCACGTTTATTTCACAAAGGAAGCTTAACTGAGGTAAGGGACCAGCTCAGTCATAGGGTAACACAGCATGGAAAATAGACCCCTCGGCCCAAACTGGTCCATACCGACCATGGTGCCCACACAGCTAGGTCCAATTGCCCACATTTGGTCCATATCCCTCTCAACCCTTCTCATCCACGTACCTATCCAAATGTTTTTTTGGAACGTTGCTATTGTACCTTCGTCAACCACTTTCTCCGGCAACCCATTCCACATATGTATCACTGTGTGAAAAAACTGCCCCTCTGGTCCTTCTTAAATCTATGCGTTATAGTTTTCAATTCCCCATCTCTGGGAGAAAGATGATATGCATTCATCCTATCTATGCCCCTCATGATTTTATACACCACAATAACGTCAGCCCTCAATCTCCTACTCTCCAAAGAATAAAGTCCTATCCTGGTCAACCTCTCCCTATAACTCAGGCCGACTAGGCCTGGCAACATCCTCGTAAATCTTCTTTGCACACTTTCCAGTTTAACTATGTCTTTCCTATAATAGAGTGACCAACAACGTATACAATTGTAACATAACGTCCCAACTCCTATACTCAATACCTCAACTGATGAAGGCCTGCATGCTAAATGGCTTCTTCACCACCCTGCCCACCAGTGATAGCGCTTTCCAAGGACTATGTACTTGTACTCCTAGGTCCCTCTGTTCCACAACGCTCCTCAGGACATTATCATTACTGTATAAATCCTACCTTGGTTTGACTTTCCAAAATGCAACACCTCATCCTTACCTGTATTGAATTACATTTGCCAATGCTCAGCCCACTTCCCCATTTGATCAACTTCCTTTGCTATCAATGATACCTACTAATTTTGTACCATGCACAAACTTACTAATCATGCCTTGTACATGCACATCCAGATGATTTATGTAAATAAAAGTAACAAGGGTCCCAGCATCAACTCCTGTGGTACACTACGAGTTACAGGCGCCCAGTGTGAGAAACAATCTTCAACCATCACCCAGGCGCCCAGTGTGAGAAACAATCTTCAACCATCACCCTCTGCTTCCTATCTAGTCAAATGACAACATGTCGCTAAAGGAAGAGATTGTTGCTGCAAGGGCAATCTGGAAAGGCACCTAAACATCTGTGGTTCTATTGTTAACTTATCAGTCATTGCTACCTATGCTGCAAAGGTTGAAACACTCTTGCAGGAACAACGCCATACATGATGTAGTTCCTCAGTGCAATGGCCTTACAGAGAAGAACACACTAATTCTGTTCCAAAGGTCCTACACATATTTAAACCATTACTGTAATTTTACTTCTCATCTATTCAACTTATTTTGGGGAGGATTTCTTCATTACACGTTGTTTGTGAAGCTTTAAAAAGGTACAGTATTGCAAAAACAAAAACAAAAACAAAGATCTCAACACTGAGCAAAATTTCCACTAAAGGGGTAAATGGATGAAGGTCCCATAATGACAATTACAATCTACATTTAAAGAAGTGACTTTAACATGCTTAAGTCACTTTGAGAAGTTTACTAAGAATATTCAAAAACAATTGTTGTTAATGAATCATACAAGGGGATAGATGAATGCACATTGAGACACATTTTCAAGGAGGGAAGGGAAGAAAAGAGGTAAAGAAATGTAATGGTGAGAATTCCAGAGTTGGGGACCTTGGCAGCCGAGGACACAACTTCCAATGGTGAAGCAATAAGAATGGCATGCACAATAACCCAGAATAGAGCAGTACAGGGACCTCACGGGATTTTGGGGCTGAAGGAGGTTACAGAAATAGGGATTTGGGTGGGTGTGGTGGGGAAGAGCCATGGAGGCAGGTAAAAATCTTAATGAGAATTTTATAATTGAGGAGTTACTTAACTGAGAACCAATGTAGGTCAGCAAATACAAGGCTGATGGTCAGCAGGATATGATGCAAGTTCAAACTCAAAATAATAAAAATGTTGATGCATAATAAGTGCTAATTCCAAACTGCATTTGTTACTCAATAACAGTGTCAGAAGGGAAGTGCTGCAAAGTTGGTATTGTACAGATTGGAAGACTGGATGTTAAATTTTTTTGTAAAATGGTGGGGGTGGGGGTGGGGAGAGGAGAGAAGAGTGTGTGGTCCCTTTAAACGGTGTGTTTTTTAAAGGCAGGCAGCAGATGTACAGAGAGTTCTTGAAATTGAAACACTGTATCAAAAAGCTATACCAATTGCAGACAAAACAGCATTTTTACCAAAGCAATAGGTTTGGAATTTAGCAAATTAATTTAAACCATGCCCTGGATACCAAAGCTCAATTAAATTTACATCCGATGGTTTTGACAACCACAGACCAATCCTATTGTAATAAATTAACAGGTCATCAAGGGTATAAAAGAAGAGGGCATTTGAAAATCGGGGCGAGATCAAATTGCCATCTGTTAAGAGAACAGCTAATAGCCATCAGCTCTAAGGAAACAGAAAATCACTGGCTCTCAGAAATCTCTAAGATCTCAGAGTAAGCCCCATCTAAACAAAGGTAGTACTGCACTCTGAGCTAATATTCCTGACAAGAATTTGACGGACTGGAGGACAGCAGAGAAGGCAAAGAACATTCCAGAAGACTTATCCTGGCTGCAATTTCAAGAGATGAAACTTTAATTTTTTTAAAAAAATTGGTTTATAGAAGTGGGACTTATCTATTGGAACAGCAAGGTGCTGCAATTTTGTTTTATTCGGGAATAGTCAGTAGTTAAGGGGGAAGTGTTCGGTTTGTTAGTTAACAAATTAACAGAACTACTACTAGAATTAGAAAAATATATTATTACTTGTTGATGGTAGTGTGACTGTCAGGAGTTCATTTTATTTCACCTCCTTTATAACAGATTGGGAGGTGAGATGCAGTTATACCACTTTTCACATTTTATTTAACAGATTGCAAGTTGAGGCAAGCTTCTCTGGGGGTTTCGGTTTTAATTATCAGAGGGGTTTGATCACTCCTTCATAACAGGAAGCAAATGACTTTTCATACAAAAGTAATTATTCCTGGTGTAGCTCAAGAGAATTAAGGGGAATCTCTCTTTATTTCAGTAACATACGTTCTATTTTACGAAGATTCACCTGTTCCCCTGGCCTTTCAGATGCAGATTAGGAGCACAGCTTTTGCCTGCACCCCGAAACAGCTCCTTTGAATCGCAAAGAAAGATGTAATGTTTCATGAATACGGTATACCCAAAACACTTTATAGCCAATGAAAAACCTTTGATGTATAACGCTGCTGTAATTGAGGAAATATAGCAATTAATTTGTGCATAGAAAACTCCCACCATAAATTTCAATACGATAATAATCATAATCTACTTTTATACAGATTAAGGAGCAAGTATTGGTCAGGAGACAAGGGTGAACTCCACTACTGTTCTTCAAAATAGCACCAAGCTATTTCTTTTTGTGTTCAGCTGAGAAGGCATGAGGTTTGTCACATCTGACTCCTCCAAAAGAGCAACATTCCTGAGCACCAAATTGGAGTGTCAGTCTCTATCTTTGTGCTACAATCCTGGAGTTAGACTCAAACCCACAACCTCCTTACCCAGAAACAAAAATACCACAAGCTGAGTCAATGTTCTGAGGAAGGGTCAGTAGACTTGAAACATTAACTGTTTTTCTCTCCACAGATGTTACCAGACCTGCTGAGCGACTCCAGCAATGTGTTTTTGTTTCAGTGCCGTTCTTTGTTTTATGATAAATGGTGTCAGTGCTGACACTTTTGGAACCCAACTCATCATACGCACCTGAACGGTAATCGAAAGGTACGTATTGTAATCAATTCTTAACTTCATGGGTGAGAAACTGTTAATAAATAGGAGTTTAAAAAGATATATGGAGGGAGAACTTTGTACTGAAATGATTCCTCCTAGGTTTTCCTAGGTTCAATTTATACAAAGCAAAATATTTGAGATTGACATGATGCATGAGATGCCTGAAGCAAAGGAATATTAAAATCTGAAATTAAGCGGGGGTGGGGGGTCTAATTCTAGGGTTTCTTTAAAGCCTTCAATCAATTTAGATTCCCATGTTCTCTAATTAATATTTCAACATGAGACACACTGAGCCTAAGTTGTTGTAGTCATGATACTGTGGTCTTACATTCTGAACAGAATTAAATTATTTATACTTGCTAGGAATAATCAGTAAAGTTAATGTTACACCAACTTCACTCCCTTCACACCGAACAGGGTGCCCAATTACATAGCTAAACCTGTTTGCTCATTCCAAAGGAAATGCTGACTATGCAAGAAAATTAGAACATGCGTACATTTCACACGATGAATGCCCTACTCATCTTAAGGGAGTGCATGTCAGAAAATGTGACAAGCCAAAAATGGAGAAAATAGGACGAAGTTTTGTGGAAAAAAGGAAGGAGAATGGCATTAAGTCTCAGTGCTTATTTGGAGATCTGGTGCAGACATGATGGGTCAAAATACCTCCATCTTCACTGCAACACTTCTGGAGATTAAAAGAATTAGTAAAGAACTGACCAGTACAATTCCAAAAATGAAATTTCGATCAGAAACTGGAGGTATTAAAATTTTATTGTGCTAGCTGAAATCTCTGCCTTAACAAGATAAGAAACACAGAAAATAGAAGGAAGAGGCTATATGGCCCTTCGAGCCTGCTCCACCATTCAATATGATCATGGCTGATCATTCAAATCAATATGCTGTTTCTGCATTTGCCGATTCAACTCGCCCAAATCACAATGAAGCATCTTTGCATAATACCTGCAGTTCATTTTCCCACCCAGCTTTGTGCCATCCACAAATCTGGAGATATTACATTTAGTTCCCTCATCTAAACTATTAAATATATATTATGAATAACTGTGGTCCAAGCACTGATCTCTATTGTATCCTATTCCCTGCCTGCCATTTGGAAAATGGCCTAGTCATTCTTACACTGTTTCCTGACTGTCAACCAGTTCTTTATCCATGTCAGTACACTACATCCAATCCCATTTGTGTCAATTTTACATGCTAATCTCTTATGTGGAATCTTATCCAAAGTCTTCTGAAAATCCAAGTAAACTATAAACACTGGTTTGTCATTATTAACTTTATAAGATAGAGGTACTAAATTCTACTTCAGCAGTCACATAAGATGCTATAAAAAAATGAGACACCTATTTTATAGTCTACAGGATTTTCTTTTATATTGAAATCATTTACTATTACCTTTTTAAAAAAAATTAATTCATGGGATGTGAGTGTCACTGGCTAGGCCAGCGTTTATTACCCAGCGTTTATTACCCATCCCTAACATTCCAGGGGCAATCAACTGTCAACCAACTACTCTGGGTCTGGAGTAACGTGTTGGTCAAACCAGGTCAGGATGGCAGCTTCCTTCCCAGCTGCACATTCGCGAACCAGATGGAGTTTTCCTGACAATTGAAAATTGTTTTGTGGTCGTCATTTGTCTCCTAATTCCAGATATTTATTGAATTCAAATTCCCACTTGCCATGGTGGAATTCAAACCTGGGTCATCGGAACAATACCTCTGGATTAATAGTATAGCGATAGTACCACTAGGCTGTCACTCCCTTCAACTTCCCCCATCTTCATAATACAGTGAAAGAAAATTTCACTTATTTATTTTCAAATAAAAAAAATCTTGATTAGCTCTCAAGTTGCCACACCAGGTTGAATGTAGCCAGTGGCAGCAAACATAACTTGGTGGTCTGGTCTACGTGTGATACAGAGTGGCACAAGCTAGAACAGACCTTCAAACTTTCCAACCACAGCAACAGTACCATAGTTCTGGAGAAGCCAACCGTTAAGACTGTCTCGATATTGTCTTTTCTGTCAGCCTCTTGCTCATCTTCCATTAATTCTTCGAGGTCATTAAGTTCCAACATTTCTGCACAGATAAAATGACTGATCAACACCATATGTTTCTGTTTGTTAATATTTAAGAGTTCTCTTGTTCTGCTGGCCTGGGTCAGTACTTTGTAAAGTTCTTTTCTCCATTTAGCTTACCCTTCGGATCCTTCTTAAGCAGCACATTTCAAAGCTGTTGATCTTCTTCCCTTGCTCTGTCCCACTGTCCCATGCTTCACTTTTCACTATTTGTTCATGAGATGAAGGCACCACTATCAAGGGCATCGTTTATTGCCCATTGCCAATTACTCTTAAAAAAAAGGTGGTGGTGGTAATCCACCTTCTTAAACCTGTGGCGATACTATGGCTTTAAGAGGTGTATTTTGTCCTTTTTTTTTTAAGATAGGTTTTGAGCCATAGGTGCAGAGTGGTTTCCTCCACGCCAATAAAATAAAAACTTTGAGGCCTTTGGTTTTTTTAAAAAAAATGTTGGAATAATAGAAGCAGCATGAATGGGCAGAGTCAGGCTCCCACAGAACCAGGGTTTTAGTTTAACTTTCAGTAGTTGGTGAGGTTCTGAAGCTGGTTGTGCAAGCTGCTACATCTCTCTCTGCTACAGCTAAAAGCTTGAGCTGCCAGAATCGCACGTGAGACACAGTCTGTTTTACTGACTTTGCCTTTGCTAAGGGTGCATTTACGGGATGCAACTATATCGGAACAATTGCTGTTTAGTAGTGAAATACTCTATTATTCTGTTAACTTTTCCAGTAGAGTTAAAGTTACACCAATTGTTCTTTCTTTTTTAACTGTAGGGTAAGAATAAAGTGTATTTTACTTAAAGCCGAATAGTGTAACCAATCAAATTACATCTGGAACACAGCACCTTACACCTGCCTTTCAGTAAGATGAAAGTTAGTGTCTAGGCTATTTCCTTGATATGCTTGAAGAGGGTTTGGTCGGGTCCATAACGAACCACTGCAATTCTTGGAGTGTGGGGGAACCCACATGCAGCTGTTAGAAAGGGAGTTCCAGGATGTGGAACCAGCAACAGTGAACAAACAGCAACAAAATTCCAAATCAGGATTGAGAGAGACCTGAAGGGGAATGTGCAGATTATGGAGTTCTCAAGGCACCTGCTCTCCTTGTCCTTCTAGGCTGTAGAGGTTGTGGATTTCAAAAGTGCTGTTAAAGGTGCTTTGGGAGTTTTGGCATCTGCAGATGCTACACACTGCACATCTGTGGTGAAGGGACTGAACGTTGAAAGTGATACATGGGATACAATCCAAGCAGGCAGCTCAGTCCTAGATGATGCCGAATGTTGAGTGTTTTTGGAGCTGCATCCATCCAGGCAAGTGGAAAATATTCCCTCACATGTGCTGACTTGTGCCTTGGACAGGCATTGGAGGGAGAGAAGGTGAATTATTCTACTCTTGTAGCCACAGTTTTTAACATGGCTGGTCCAGTCCAGTTTTTCTTCAATGGTAACGCCCAGAACGTTGACAGCAGGGTATTCAGTGATGGTAATGCCTTTGAATGTGAAAGGACAATGGATACATTCTCTTTAGTTGCACATGGTCATTGCCTAGCAGTATGGCGATGTGAATGGGGGAGGCAATGGCCTAGTGGTATTGTCTCCTGCTTCCATTCCTTTTGGGAACGCATTCACTGTAGAAGGGGAAAATGAGCCCGAGATAGAATGCAGCCTTGCCTAGCACTTTTTCTGATTGCTTTCCAAATCATCAGTGGACTGTTGCTTCCCAATTCTAGTAATTATTTCTGATGAATTTGGATATGACTTTCAATGCAATTACCCAAGTCGTTTATAATGTGACTAATTGAGGCCCTAATACAGATCCTTGTTGTACACCACTGGTCACATCCCGCCAATTTGAGTACCTACTCATTATCTGTACTTTCTGTCACCTGCCACTCAACCACTTTTCCATCCATGGGCTTCTACTTTTGTTAACAGTCTCTTATGTGGAACTTTATCAAATGCCTTTTGGAAATCCACATAAATAGCATCCATAGACATTCCGCCTGTCCATTACTTTAGTCACCTTTTCAAAAATTCAGTGAGGTTTGTCTGACCTGCCATAAATACCTAAAAAAAAAAAAAAAAAAACTTACAAAAAAAGTTATACCAGCCATAAAAAGTGCCAATGACTACAATCAAAGTCCTCTGCACCAATTTATTTGACATTTGACTGGAATTAGCTTAGCAGCTGTGGACTCTGATTCAGTCAGGGATACATAGTTAATAGCTAAGTTTTGGTAGCTCCTTAGCAGGCAGTCAGATCAGATTAATTACTAAACCAAAGTGCTGCACCTCTGGATTGGAAGAACTAGTCCAATTCATGAGGCAGACCATCTTGCCTTTCTTAGGCAACATTTATTTTTGCTACTGTTTGACAAAGGAACATGTCATCCTCTCACCTCCATTAGGACCAGGGTCAGGGGGACCCAGACTGACACCACCCCAGGAGTTTCCAGTCCAGCCTCTTTCTCTTTTGATTTTTATTTTCCTTCTCTTGTCCCATTCCTCTCGTTCTCTCAGGGCTTCAGCCTGCAACACTTCCTGCTGGGATTGGTCACGTTTTCCAATTGATTGAATGGTTCCACTTTTTACAACAGGAGCATTCAAACCAGGCCAGAGGAACCCAGCTCGCCCTAAAACCAAACAAAATAAGTTTTTAAAAATGTTACTTATACTGCAATCAGCCAAGGTTAGAAACACCTAGATATCAATAGGAATTGGATGAACAGAAGAACCTCCAAGTCATAAACTTTCACATCATGCTTCCTCTGGAAATTACATTCATTAGAAAAAAAGTGTACAAAACACTCAAATGGCAAGACTACAGGATTTTCTTTTCTCAAATCGCTCTTCCTTCACTTTCAAACTAATCAGAATCCATATTCTCTTTCACCTTCAGTTTGTAACAGTTAGTGTGTGTTTTTGGATGGAATGGACTTCTATTGAAATTATTTGAACGTAAAACATATTTTGTTTAATGCCAACCATTATACAATACATACTATGGTCATTATTAAAAACAGGATGGTCAAGGTTCTTCTATATTTTTCCATATTCTACCTATATTTATCTGCAACTTAATAGGAATGACTTTGCCAAGTTTTTTTAGGAACAAAACACAGGCTCAACATCACCTGCTAATACTGTATACTGGCACAGGGCACTGAACTGCCCATAATACTCAAACATGGATTTGTACATGGTGCAGTTACTTACCTTCACCGATCATCTGGCCTCTATTCAAATCTTTCTTCATCTTCCTTTTAGTTCGTTTACCTCTGCCCTTTCGTGCACCAGCACCAAATTCTGCCAGTACACCACGCCATAATTCATCTGCTGTCACTGTTAAGATAAAAACGTTCCCATGGTGAACAAAGCTACCAATATTAATAGTTTACGGATTGAATTTTATTCGTAGGATGGTAACCTAGAATTTCATTCAACAAAAATCTTTGAAAGCCTATTGCTTTGTTAGATGCAAAAATTGATTACTACAATAGTGAGTACGCAAATCAGTACTCCAGGCACTAAAGGGTTCCAGAATTAAATAGTTCAATTTTTGCCTTGACAAATGAAAGCATGACATACTATGTGCATTGGAATGAATGAATTCACCAACACGTTTTACCCAAAGGTTCAGCTACTTTCATTAGTATTGGAATCGAGGGAAATAAAGTGAATGAAGCTTTGACGTAGCATCACATTTTTTTTCATTGTCGACCTCCAAAGTAGAAATATTTAATCATAAAATAGTTAACTGTCTATTCTGTAGAAACATTTTCCCAATCTGCTCTAGTCATAAAGGTAACTAAGTGTACTCTCATTGGAGCAACAGGATAGGGATCTACAAGATAATTAAACAACTGGATGGCTTGCCTTTCTCTATAATGAATTTTTGTCTGTCCAGATTGGATCGGTGTCTGAAAGATCAAAGCAATGAAATTGCATACCAGCATATTAACACATGGCCAAATAGATATAACATATTGTCATACACTAAAGGCCCTTGGAGTACAAAGCAGAACAAAAACTTTCAGACTCTCTTATTTGCCTGTTCCTGTTCCTGCTCGACAGATAGTGAGATATTTCAGCTTCTTCCAATAAACGTAAACAGTGATCAGAAAGGGTAGGAATCAGAACTCCAAGCTGTCTTTGTTCACGTGGTCACTGGCACACACTGTGCCCTCAACACTTGTCAGTGGTTGCTACTCTGATGTATAGTTGAATGGAGCATGAATATTGGAGACGGGCATGTTGCATGGACCAGGACAATATGCTAAGATTTACATGAAAGCTTGTGGCAACTGTTGCTGAGGTGTATTGGGAAAGGTCACTAAGTGCTTTCTTCCAGGGTGTACCAAGGGCTTAGGAACTGTAGTTCTATTACAATCCAATCGATAAGACATGTTGAAATTTCTTAAGTCCTGTAATGTGTAAGTTGTAATGTTTTTGTTTACAAATTTGGAGTGAAGTATATTTTTGGAAGGAAATCCTAATAAGTGTGGTTAACAACAGTTGTAGGTGGTAAAGTCTGGGGGCAGGAGTGGCACAAGGGAAGGGTTTGGTGGAGAGAAAGGCAGAGGCGATAGTGGTGGTGAGGGCAAGCAGAGCCTTGGCCAGAGGCAGGATTTAATGTTGTCTAGAGAGATGACAATGGCAGGGGTGGGTTGCTGTCTATCTTCATTGGATGACTGCAGCAGCAGGTGGTGAATGGCATTGTGCTGGGAGGTGGTGTGAATGATAGCTAGGGAGATGGCATGGCTTATTAGGATTTACTTCCAAAAATATACCTCACTCCAAATTTGTAAACAAAAACATTACAAGACTTAAGAAAATTCAACATGCCCCAAGACAACATATCTTATCGATTGGATTGTAATAGAACTACAGTTCCTAAGCCCTTGGTACACCCTGGAAGAAAGCACTTAGCGACCTTTCCCAATACACCTCAGCAACAGTTGCCACAAGCTTTCATGTATTTCTTAGCATATTGTCCTGGTCCATGCAACATGCCAGTCTCCAATATTCAGGAGAGGACGCTTCTTCTATACTTCTTTATGAAGAATTAGTAACAATGCACACGTACACACGGATTAGAATAGAAATAAGCGGGGAATCCAAAGGGATAAAAGTCTGCATTGGGGAATTACTATATGAAAGCTAAAGAATTGTGGATACTAGAAACCTGAAAACCTGAAACAAAAAAAAAAAGGAAATTGATGGAGAAACTCAGTAGGTAAGGCAGCATTTGTGGAGGAAAGCAGAGTGAATATTTCTTCAGAAGTGATTGTGATAGGAAAAAGGTGTTATATTTGCAGAAGACAGAGGTAGGAGAGTGACTTCTTGTGTATATTTAAGGCTGAAATAGGTAGAATCTTTATCATAGGGGAACATCAAGAATTATGGGAAAAAGAGCAGGAAAGTCGACATGGAGAATATCGATCAACCATGATTCTATTGAATAGCAGAGCTGGCTGAAGGGGCTGAACAGCCTACATTCCTGTGCCTTTTCTGATAGGCCTTCCAGTCAAATCCTTCTTATATATCCAGAGAGACACTCCCTGCACTCATTACCCTTGAGGTGACTGGTTTTTTTTCCCCTATTCATTTGTGGGATGTGGGTGTCACTGGCTGGGCCAGCATTTATTGCCCATCTCTAGTTGCCCCTTGGAGAAGGTGGTGGTGAGCTGCCTTCTTGAACCGCTGCAGTTCTCCTGCTGTGGGTTGACCCACAATGCTATTAGGGAGGGAATTCCAGGATTTTGACCTAGCAACAGTGACGGAACGGCGATATATTTCCAAGTCAGGATGGTGAGTCACTTGGAGGGGAACTTGGAAGTGGTGGTGTTCCCATTTGTCTGATGCCCTTGTCCTTCTCGATGGAAGTGGTCGTGGGTTTGGAAAGTGCTGTCTGAGGATCTTTGGTGAATTTCTGCAGCGTACCTTATAGATAGTACACACTGATCCTACTGAGTATCGGTGTGGAGGGAGTGAATGATCGCAGATGTAGTGCCAATCAAGTGGACTGCTTTTTCCCGGATGGTGTCAAGCTTCGAGTGTCGTTGGGGCTGCACTCATCCAGGCAAGTGGGGAGTATTCCATCACACTGCTGAGTTGTGCCTTGTAGATGGCGGACAGGCTTTGTCAGGAGTCAGGAGGCGAGTTACTCGCTGCAGTATTCCTAGCCTCTGGCCTGCTGTTGTAGCCACCCTGTTAATGTGGTGAGTCTACTTGGAGTTTCTAGTCAATGGTAACCCCCAGGATGTTGATAGTGGGGGATTTAGTGATAGTAACACGGTGATTAGATTCTCTCTTATTAGTGATGGTCATAGCCTGGCATTTGTGTGGCGCGAATATCACTTGCCACTTGTCAGCCCAAGCCTGAATATTGTCCAGATCTTGTTGCATGTGAACATGGTCTGCTTCACTATCTGAGAAGTCACGAATGGTGCTGAACATTGTGCAATCATCGGCGAACATCCCCGCTTCTGACCTTATGCTGGAGGGAAGGTCATTGATGAAGCAGCTGAAGATGGTTGGGCCTGGGACACTACCCTGAGGAATTCCTGCAGAGATGTCCTGGAGCGGAGATGATTGACCTCCCACAACCACAACCATCTTCCTATGTGTCAGGTATGACTCCAACCACCGGAGCGTTTGCTCCCTGACACCCATTGATTCCAGTTTTGCTAGGGTGGTGGTGAACATAACATTGTGTCTTTGCCAAGGTCTGGAGAGAGATGCAGTGGTTTTCACTGAGGGTCACCCTAACAGCTCCATGATGAAGGACTCTGTACTCTACAGGCCCTTTCAGAGTTTTAACCAAATACATCTGTTTTGGAGCTTTAAAACTATAAAACTTACACCGAGACTCTATTTCCTAACAGTTCGACCACACATCTGCAGGAACAACTGTTCCATGCAACAGTTTAGCTAAGACTTCTACTAACCAGCCAAAGTGAAACCCAAAAGGTTATTTACTAAGCTACAGGTATTTGCCCTAATCAAAACAAATAAAATAAATCTGACCTTCTAACTTGAATGCACAATTGTTTAACCTGACAGCTTGTAAAAACTCGCCAATGAAAACAAAACTATCACACACCAGGATCTCTTAAAAACAAAATAATCAGAGAGAAATCGCCATGGCTACTGAAAGACTTACAAGTTAATCATTAAACCTCTTCTCTCACACAGAAAACCCATATGCCATTCGTTCAAAATCCAAACGAAATGATATTAAATCATCCATAAATCACACATCTTACAAAACAATACACTAACTATTAAGCTCCTGAGCGAGGAGGGATGAACTGGCTCCCCCTTCTTAGTTTGTCCAGCCCCTCAGTTGTTTGCAACATTAAAAAAGGATCCCTTCCCTTGTGAAAGGATATCTTTTTTTCCAGACCCAGATGAAGATGTGCTTTAAATGAAGCCAATCTAACCAGGCTTGTTTTCATAATTCATAAACTTAATCTTAACTAAATAGAGAAACCAATGAGGATAGATCAGAGAAGTTGTAATTGTTCTCTTTGGCAAGAAGGAGACCTGCTAGAAGTTTTTTATATGAACAGGCTGGATACAGTGGATAGAAAGAAACTATTCCCTCTAACAAAAAGGAACAAGAATAAGAGGCCACAGATTTAAAGTGATGTACAAAAGAAGGAATCAGTCCAGGAATTGTTCATGAAGATTTAAGACTTATTTACTATATTGTCATTTGTACCTAGGTATAGTGAAGAGTGGATGGTTGAATCTGGTGGACATTGCAGTGGGGTCACCTGTAGCACTGACGTTGGTTATTGATCAGTCAATTTCATAATCATTTACTTTACAGGCTAGTTAAGATTCCATAGTTCTGATTCTTTTCTGAATCCAGCTTTCAGGAGGAGACAGTATCATTTTGTTGTCCCATCTCCTTTGTCTGGTTTGCAGCCAGACAAACCTTTACCTGCAGCACAGGGTGACGAGGGAGTAGTTCTTTAACTGACCTTCACAGCATGCTAACACTCAAACCCAAGCTGATGCATATGAGAATGTTCAGTTCCGCAAGCACACTTCATTGTTGTTGGGTTTTCAAATCCCTACCCTTGTATGTTCTGAGGGCAACATACAAGATATGCCTGTTTCAGACATAAACCAGAGGGTTATCAGCCCCTTGTTATCTCAAGAGGCTTGATTCCTGAAGTTTCTTTGACCATATGTGTGACATTCAGTAGAAGTCAATCTCCAGTCAATCACTTCATTTATATCTGCGTCCATTTTTAGCTGTATCAACCCTCTTTTTAAAATAAAAAGCACATTTTGGAATTATGAGTTAAAAATGTCCATATATGTCTTCACAGGACAGAACCCCAGTCACGAAAATACTACAGGT